CCAGCCTGGGACATAGAGAGTTCCAGGTCAGTCTCAACTACATAGTGAGACCCTGTCTCAAAAAAAAAAAAAAAGAAACTTCTAAACTTACTAGAGGGAGGGCTTATATCATTGTGAGCTGCCATCAAAGGGGACAGCAGGATGTCGGCCCCTTTCACCTCTTCTGCGTTCCATCCTTCAGGTAAATGGCTTTGCTGCCGAAAGCGCTCCATGATCTTGCCTCACCATAAGGAGGTGAAAGGACCCTTGACTCAATCCTTCAAAACCGAGGGCCAAAAATCAAGCTTTCTTCTTTTGATGTTGGTAATTTTGTATATTTGTTAAAGCAATAGGAAGCTGGTAATACAGAAAATTGTACAGAGATGCGAGGTGGCTGCTATCACAATATTACCGATGAAACTGGTTTTCTGGCAATGGGAAAAGTTTGGAGACAAGGGCTAGAGTAAGTCTAGAATGTTGAGGGAGGCTAAGAAGTCCAGAATGCAGACACAAATTCAGACTGTAAAAGCAGTGCTAATGAAATTTTGGAATAACAGGGGTATGCTATTGGAAATTGGATGAAAATCAACTTTGTTACACGACGGTAAATGTTTTTTTGAAAATTGTCCACCTTGATACTTCACAGGATGCTGAGTTTCAAGGTGATGGACTATGTATCTGACAGAGGCAATTCAAGGCAGCACAGTATTTTGTCAAGAACATGGGTATTATTCTCTCCTCAAAGTCGGACCTAGCGATTCTTAGCATATACAATTATTTTCTGCATTTTCACAATTCTATTTGTAGGGATTTTAATTTAACAACAGGAGTCGCAACAATTGTCAAAATGTCACACTGGTCCTAAGAAAAGTCTGTTATATAAAACTTCGGAGATATTTACTTGTTTATAAGCACAACAAATAAAATTATATCTGGTATTTATTTTAGACCATGATCCAGACATGGCTTTAAAGTGAGAGCTTGATCAATGCTCTGAGAGACTCTATGAAGAAGGTACTAAATATCGGAACCTACCTTTTTATTATGATGGTGATGAGTATGGTAAGAAATAAAATAGAATTCAAATGATAATTTTTATCTTCTTATTGATCAGAGATACAGTTACTAAGCATCGAGTGTCATTGTTTACTTCACAACCAGTTAAAAGACAAGATTTCCAGACATAATTTGCTCAAACACATGGTGGTAGATTAATTCATGGTCAACTTGAGTGGGGACACCCGGCTGAACTTAGTCAGCAAGGCTCTGACCATGAAAGATCCACCTGAGAATTGTTGCTGGAATGGAATAAAAGCAGAGGGGAGAATTGCATGCTGCTGATTTCCCAGAAGAAGCTTTGTTGTGGCTGGTTTTCCTCATACACAACCAGCTGCTCACGATCCTTGCTGTTGCCAGAGATGACTTTGTTCTCTTCAGGAGGCCTCTGGTCTTTGCTTATGTTTTCAGCGTGGCTTCCTGGCTGCAGTGCAGATCCCTCACCCTTCTGGCACAGATATTTCGCCCTACGGGTACAGAATTTCCATCTTTCACCACTGGTGTTTGAGTCTTCCTGGTGCAATCTTTGATACAGACTTATGGGGGACATTGCCATGGGCTCTAGGCCTTTGGCTGGACACCTAGAAGGTGTTGGCATGGGATCCAGGCCCTCAGGTGGATTCTTCAGGTCTCTTGCACTGAAACAGATCTCTTGCACTCTTCCACATTTGACTTTTTGAATAAAATTATAATCCTATAAATTTGTGTCCTGTATTGAATTCATTCTCTTGCAAACACTGACTAGACCACACATCTTCAGAAAAAAACAGGTGGGAAATTTGCCTAACATATTTACCTTAAGCTTTATTTATTTATCTAAGGGATTATTCGCTACATATCCATTCTTTTCAGAGTGAACAAAGTAATCCTACCTCTCCAAGCTATGGAACTCTTGCTCAGTTCATTTTATTACCATTGGGGAAAAGAGAGGCTCAAATCATAAAATAAATCCAGTCTCTTATTTTGAGGTCTTGAACTCATTGGAGGATAAACAGCCACCGTTAGCAGAGGAAGGGAGTTAGAGAGGTCTCATAAGTTAATGTCCAATGTGACAGTTTAACTGAACATGTTCAAAACATAATAGACTGTAAATCAAGAAAGTCTATGGCATAGCAATAAACTTAACATTATTAACCTTTCACCTTCACGAGCCTGGAGATAGTCTAACCTAGGTTAAGGGCAAGAATTTCTATTAATTCTCAGGTTTCCGTTAGTCTGTGACATGAAATTGTATTATCCACCACCTTCCTTGGAAATGGCATTTAGATGATTTTAAACACATTTTGACAAATTTTAAACTCATACGTTATGTACTGACAGTAGAGAGTATTAAGAAATTTAAAAACACTAGGTCAGTGTTCACTTTGATTTTAAGGATATTTTAAATAAATTTAGAAACATATTCATTCAACAGAATTTTCAAGATAAATTCCTACCAAATATAATGCATTTTTTATCTTATTGTTTTATAGTACTATCATTAAAAATTTTAAAACATTTAATCTTTAATTTCATTAGTAAAGACTATCAGATAAATACAACAAAAGCTATGAACAAATAAGTAATTTAAGACTATAAGGCACTAAAACTACATGCATATATCTTCAAACTTATAATCAAACAAATGAAGATTAACCCATAGAAAACAACATATTTTTATCAGCAAACTAATAACAATAACTATTATTATCTGGGAAAATAAAAACAACCATTTTCATATACTGTGGAGATAGATATAAGTTGATAAAATTGTTGGAAAGCAATTTATCATTATTTACCAACGTAGGTTTAAAATTCTATAATCTTTTCAAACTACTTTTACTTAGGACATTTTAAGAAAATTATACATAATGCAGATACATAGAGTTTACATATACAAATTTCAAGAAATTATACATAATGCAGATACATAGAGTTTACATATACAAATTTGCTTAGGTAATGCATTCCGAAGTCCAATATGTTAATTGCTTTGTTCCTGGTGCATTGCACTTTGGGAAGTGGTGAAGCATTGAGAGCGGAGGTCTTCCTGCCACCGGGCGCATGTCCTCGAAGGGTTCCAGGGACCTCAGCTCTTTCCATTCTCCTTTACTTGCTTCTCAGCCACCATGAAATGCATGGTTTTGCTCCGTCATGCCTACCCTGCAGTGTGTTTTCTTGCCATAGGCCAAAAGCAACACAGGGCTAATTGGTATTTGACCGGAACATCTGAAACTGTGAGACAAATGAACTTTTTCTCTTTTTAAGTCGATTATCTCAGGTGGTGTTGTTGTAACAAGAGTCATCAGATTAACACAAATGATTTGATTCATGATTATTATTAAAAAAGGATGCAACAACTTAGCTATTCAAGAAGATTTAAGTGAAAATACATTAATATATATTCATATAATGGAATGTGATGGATTACATAATAATTTACAAGTTTGTCTCATCTTTTTATGTTTTCTTTAATACATGACTGTAGGACATAGGGTCACATTCATCTTAGGAACTCGGTACATGTAGTTCATTTATTGTGATTCTTTTTATTCCATTTATTTTCCCTGTCACTGCCCTCCTTCCGTCTCTGAATACTCTTTTAGTTTGCAAAAGGTCTATCTCCCTATTTCCTCATTAAAACAGTCTTTCTTAAAAAGAAAAAGACTGGTAATTGTCCTTGATAATAATTATCATGGAAAATGTAGAATAAAATTGCTTTAAAAACATGGATTTATATTTTTAAAAAGCAAAATATTAACATGTTAAAAAATGAAATGGAGTAACTAAATTTTATTTGTATCTATCAGATTTGTGAGCTTATAGCAACGTTCACACTTTCTATTTGTATTTTTACTTTTATGCTAAAAATAAAGAAATCTATATAGAAACAATTTTATATACTATCCTTTCACTTCAAAATGGTATACTAGATACTTTAAATATCAAAGGAAATATGATAAATTTAAAAGTATGCACATATTAATTTTACCAAAATTTGTCAACACAACCTAAGAGTTATCATACAGAAAAGAATAAATTTTTTACTATATATTTTCTTTATTCTTTTTTTTGTTTTTTGTACTGCGGATTGAACTCGGGTCCTTGCGTTTCAAGGCAGGCCACCAAACTGATGAACTAAATCCCCAGCCCATCTTTATTCTTAATTTATTGTACATTATGCAAACTATGCTCTTGTGCTCATAAACTCAATGTGCAGTCTCTAAATTCTTTGGTTGATTGTATATTTTCTATTTGGCATTTTTCATGCCCGCATCCCTTCTTAACCCCAGAGTTATGTTATTAGCATCTTCTATGTAGGACAAAGATACAAAATTTTCAAAGAAAAATATAATAAATCCCACGACTAATTCAACTATGTGTATTTGGTGCGGCATTGGACAATTTTCTTATGTGTCAGAGTATATTGATGTTACAAGTGACACTGTAGTTAATAAGTACAGTTAGCTATAACTAACAGTGGCATAGTCCTCACTACAATGCTCCCAACAGTGCATTGTATGCCTACTTGGGAAACATGTACCACTCAAGAAGAGCCTGATTGATAGGGAAAAGGGCCGGAAGTGAGCAGTGCATCCAGATAAAAGGCTCCATTACGATTTTAAAGAAATTGTATTTGCCCCATTCTCATGAATGCCTCTACTATTAGAAAATAATGGACATCAGAGATGAGCTTTGAAAGTTTTCTTATTTAGATACTGAAAATATTAACTGTAGAAATCAAAGTAGTGATATGTCACTAAAAACTTGAAAAATGGAACATATGCATGGACAGTGAGCATAGGAAAAATAGGATAAGCCAGAAAACCAGCAAGTTATGTTCATTTTTTTTCACCTCTTGACATAAAATTTTGAGAAAAAGGAGAGGGTAGGGGAATGGGCAAAAAAAGAATCAAGATACACCAATGTACAAATTTCCTATGATGAATGTAATCATTTTGCATACCTAAAATGTACCAGTCAACTTAATTTTAAAAAATAATATTTCCACTAAAAATAACTGATAGAAATCAATCAAAAGGTAGACTCTTGCAGAAAGAAGAAGAAATGAATCTATACCATATGTATATTTTAACAGAGCCTTTTATCTTTTCTATGCCTGAGAGGATTTTCAAATAGCTTCAGATGCTCCTGGATGCACTTACCTGGTAACAGGTGGAAGGACTCAGCCATCGGTCTTCAAATGTCAGGGCAGATTATGTTTCCAATGTGCTCTTCTAGTTTTAGCAGGTTGACTGTAACGAGAGTACAAAACAAACACATTTACTGTCTCTGATTAAACTTACGATAAAGCAGTAACTGCTGTTCGGAAAAGAAAAACAAAACACTAAAGTTCATACTGTCAGGATGCATTCCACCTCCGTTTAAAGATTTTTCAAGCCTGATAAGATTGCATTCAAAGCAAAGATTAAGCCATATGTCACTTTAGTCATTGATATTGTAATTTGCATATGCCCATCTCATGTATAGGAGATTCTTCTAAATCACTAGAGTGGGCGTACTTAGCAATTCAGAGGAAATGCAGACTGGTAGTCAAATGATTTTACAGAAATCCAAATGTTATTGTGATGGATTCTGCCCTTCTGTTATATAAAGGTACTCACTTCCTCGGAGCTCCCTGACTAATCTCCTCCCACCAAAACTGAGGAGGTGGAAGCATATGTGCTTTTCTTATTCTTAACATGTTCAGGCACTAATCTCTCTACCTAGCCATGCAACCACTCATCCATCCAAACAAAAGGTATTGAAAATATATTCTGTTCCAAACACCTATAGTAGTTGGGAATGGATAAATGAATATTATCCAACAAAGTAAATGATCTGTTGCTTTAGAAACAATTTCTAAAGAAATCCTAAGAACGTATTGAGTAAAGAAAGGCCACACAAATAGATCATTTCCTCTATTAAGACCTGCACTGGTATCAGTGAATTTCCAATTACAGACAAAGTGTTCTACACTTTCCTTTCAACAGTATGATTATAATGTTGGTTATCTCTGTTTTGGTTTAAATGAACATAGACCAGAAGCTAGGTGTGGTGGCACACACCTGTCACCTCAGCACACAGGAGGCTGAGGCGGAGGACTGCTGCAAGTTTTTAGCCAGCCCAGGCTATATACCACAGTGGTTCAGGGCCAGCCTGGACTACCTTGCATGACCTTGTCACAAAGAAAGCTGCATAGAACCTGTGAAAGTTGTGTTATGTGGCCTTTCTGTGGGAAAGAAGAGAGTCGGCTGTTTATTCTTTTTTTTATCATGGAAACTATTTCTTACAAGATTAGAGAAAGGAACATTATGCTCCTCTCTATCCTTGAACCCATATTCTATGTCAGACCCAATGAAAAAATGCCTGCAGACCAAGTAAAAATATAAACACACCAGAAGCTATCTATTTATTATTCATGTACCTATAGCATATGCTCATGTAGTTAACAAATATTTATGTGTCCTCATAGAAATAATGAAAAATACATGTTCCCTGAAAATATTTTTCTTCAACTTTAATTTTTTTTACTGCATGTTTCTAGTACATAATAATTACATTTCTCTTGGGCAGTAACCATATGTACATAACGCATTTTGTTGTTTTTTTTTCAGAGCTAGGCATGGTGGCACACATCTGTAACGCCAGCACTTGAAAAGCTGAAGCAGGAGGATCATCATGAGTTTGAAGTCTGTCTTGGTTACATAGTGAATTCGAGGCCAGTGTAAACTATGGAGTAAGACTTGCCTCAAAAAATAATTTTTTTTTCATCCTCTTCTGTTCTTTACCCTCCAGCTTTTGGTCCCTTTCTCTTCTGCAAAAGATCTATCTTTCTATGTCCTGTTATCTATGTTAATTCTAGAATATCTTATGACACAGATCTGGATGGTTAATTTTTCAGCAAAGAGTATCACTTGTTAATTACCATTACCTAACTAATTTTTTGTCCATGTTCCATTATGCAGTGAACAATAAACTCAGTTGTTCACTTTATTTTTGTTGCTTTATTGATAGAAAGCACATGATGTTTACATCATAACTTGAGTATGGATAACTCACAAAAATCTGTGCAGTCATAATTTCCTTTATTTTCCTATGCAACCAGACAGAGACAAAGATAAAGTCCTGCTAATACTACCAGAGGTCCTACAAAATGTAATTTCTTTGCTTGAAAAATCATGACCTAGAAACATGTTTTACTTTTGCTGAATGAGAAGTAAACTAATCTCTTTTGATGTAGACACCTGTGTTTTCCTGTATTGATGCAATCTGAGCTGTTGTCCTTGCTACTAAACAAACTTTAATTTAGTATGACCTCTAGCTGGTCTGCTTTCTAATCTGTACAAATGCCAAGCCTAAGATCCCTTACTAAAAGATCTCTGCTTGGGAGAAAATAACTACTTCATAGTCCGCATACACAATACACGAAGTGAAAGGATACCAAAGAAGGCACCTATATTTCAAAGACCAAGCGGACCCTGAAACATTGTTAATATCCTGCTGCAAATCACATCCAGTAATTGTGCATGTATAAGGAGAATTTATAAAAAGATGTGTTCTGTAGTTTGTCTAATCTGTAAATAAGTTATACCCCATTGGGTGACTTTTACACTCACATTTTATAGTAAGTAAAGCAATTTAGGAATACAACTTGTTGAACAAAGCAACCCTTCTTCTAAGGACTTAGGAATACAACTTGTTGAACAGTCTTAAAAGAGATGCTTCATATAAGATTAAGTAGTCTGTAAATAAATTTAGGAATACACTGTGAAGATAACTAAATGTGATTTTTTATTATTTGTTTTACGATTTATATAGCAAAATGCATTATTAGTTCTTGAGCTCTAACTTCAATTGCAAATGTAGCACCATCTACTTCAGCGTTGAGCAGTGACTTCTTTATCATAATTTCCTTCCATATTAAATTGTCCTCTGCTATGTTGTAAATGTGCTTTGGTTTGTACCCAATACAAACTATGAAGAATCTTTGTTCCCAATGTAATGGTATTGAAATGGGGTGGTATCTACAAAAGTTGTTTGGGATTATCAGGAATCTGACTTCAGAAATACACTGCTTTTCTTCTAGGCATGAGTTAACTACTGTAGGAACTGTCATTTTTTCCTGACTTCTGTATGTGCTTGCTTCCATTGTCCACCATGAAACCCTAACCAGTGCAGAGCAGATATGGTACCATGCTACGCATCTGTTCTCGGAACCACAATGAATTCCCTCGCTTGGAAATTCTTCAGTGTCAGAGTTCTGTTACAGCAACAAAAGTAGACTAAGATATCCATGTGTCTGGATATTTCTTGCAGATAAATTCTTCAACATTTCAATTCTTCCAACCATGCAGTTTCCATTCTAAGCCCTGCCTCACTGATCTTCCCAAAGCACAGCCATCCGATTCCCTGTTCTCTGCATTATTTTCGAAAGTCACCAGAGGGATGAAGAGACTGAAATAATCCGAGTACGTCAATGCCTTATTTCCAAAATATCTCTGTTTCTTCAGATGACTGTACAGCTAAAATAACCCACCCACTCCAATATTAGTCACCATATTTTTGTGTCTCATCATTTATATTGCAGCAACAAGTATAATTCCTTAAACAGTCGTTTTTACTTAGTCTTAAATCTTCATCTTCCCATTTACTTTTGATATTATTACAGCTTATTTTCCAGCGAGTGGAGAAGCAAGCTTCTTCTATCATAAATTTTAGTTAAATTACTCTCATATGTAGCCCCAAAGTGCCAAGTGCATCTCTACCATTTTTGTTGTTGTTGTTGCTTGTTTGGTTGGTTGGTTTTTTGGTACCGGGATTGAACTCGGGTCCTTGCACTTGCAAGGCAGGCCACAGAACCGCTGAGCTAAATCCCCGGCCCCAGTGGGATTTTTTTTTCTATGGTTATGTTTGACCCACTGAATTTTCAGCTAGGATATCTGAATTTTTTTATTTAGATAATTTTTTATCCTGAATAGCAAATGTTATATATATTGCCTGAGGAATTGCATGTCCTGATTCATACTTCATAAAATGATACCTTGGCTCATGAACTTGATTCTTTTCTACAATTCTGGTCACAAATCAAGTTGGACAATAACATGAGTCAAAGTCAATCATTAACTTCAATGTTGACCTCTGGGGAAAGTTTTTTATTCATTAAATTTATTAGTACATTTTAGGTATAAAATATAATGACATGTATCACTGGGAACTTGCACCTTTACATGATATATCTTGGTTCTTCTTTTTTCTCCATTCCCCTGCCCTCCCTTCAACCCCTCAACCCATCCCTATATATAAAGACTTTGTTACCATTTTTTCTTTTCTCATATTTATACCTTTCCTTTCTTTCCTTTCCCTTCTGACTTCCCCATCTCCTTTGGACCTTTTTATACTATTTCAGATTATCCAATATGCATTTAGATCCATATTTACACTTTCAATTTCTCACACTGGAGAAGCTATTTAGTATTTACACATGTGTGTAATATTTATTTCACTTAAGAGTACGGCTTCAATGTGCATCCACTTAGCTATAAATGCCTCTAGTTTCTCATTCTTTATGGTTGAGTAAACTCCATTTTTTAAATTTTTAAAAATTTTCTTTATCCAGTCACCACTTTATGGGCATTTGGGCTGTTTTCAAGATTTAGCTATCACAAATTGTGTGGCTATAAACATGGGTGTACATATGTCACTGTGATGCTTTTGAATTTTTTGTGAATACACCCAGCAGGGAAATAGCTGGATACCTCTAATCCTAGCTTTTTGAGGAAGCTCCATACTGATTTCTACAGTGGTTGCACCAGTCTGCACTCCCACCAGCAGCGAAGAAGGGCTCCTTTTCCCCCACAGCCCTGCCAGCATTTGTTATTGTTTGATTTCTTGATAGCAGCCAATCTTTCTGGAGTGAGATGGAATCTCAGCATTTTCATTGGCATCTCTCAATTGACCAGTGATGTTGAACGTTGTTTTTTAATGGAGAAATTTGACCAGAATCATGATGAGAATTGAGTTCGTAAACCAAGGTACTATTGTATTTTCTGTTATTCTTAGATAGATAGATAGATAGATAGATAGATAGATAGATAAAATTGTTAATGATAATTCTATCTATAGTCAAAAGAAAATGCAATTCATATTCTACAATGTATATTGTCTATTAATCATTAATAAATGAATAGAAATATTAAAACTCTACCTGCATTTATGAAAAAGATACAATTCAATGGAATTAAAAACCAAGTTATATTATTTAATATCTGAGGAGATCTGTGATTGTATATAAGAGTTTTTCTTAATGAAGCAAGAACTTACGTAGGGTTTGGCAGCTGAAGCGTTCATGATCTTTCTCTGTTTTCACACCAATTTTCACAAAAAGGAAAACATACTTTTTATGTGTAAGATTTAGACTGGATCCTTTTGTTTCCAATCACTAAGATTTAGAAAGTTGTCTCAGCCTTCAATTACTAAAATACCTTATACCACCTTCTAAAATACAGACAGTACATTTCCTTAGAACCAACTTTTTTCCACTTAATGAGACAAGAATTAA